ACCTCCCCTACAAGAAATCATTAAAGATGCCCTCACACTGGCAACTAAAAGGCAAAGGTCCCCAAAGCCCTGAGCAAGGACATAAATAGACAGACATGATCAGAAACCTGCAGCTCTCTACTAAAATATGGAGGTAAAGACTCAATTACAGCTTAGAAGAGAAATGGAAAGAAAGCATCAAAAATAATGATGAACACTTCAACTTAGCCACAAACTCACAAAACTAAAAACAGAACAATTTGTAACAGCAATGATTCAGAAGGGGAGAGGAAAGCGAAGGAAGCTGCTTAGGTTAATGGAGATAAGAGGTTATAAGAAAATGGATTATCTGATCTCCAATATCTTTCATACAATCCTCATGGTAACCACTAAACGAAAAATCAGAGCAGCACCACAATTCACAAAAAGAGACAAAACTGAGAAATCTCCCTCAGAAAACCACCAAATGAAATGACAGTCAGAAATACAAAGGAAAAGAAATAATGGAAACATAAAACAACCAGAAAACAAGAGACAAAATGGCAACATTAAGCCCTCATATATCAATAATCCCTCTAAATGTAAATGGATTGAATTCTCCAATCAAAAGACACAGAGTAGCTGGATGGATTAAAAAATAAGACCCAACAATATGCTACCTCCAGGAAACACATCTCTGCTCCAAAGACAAACACAGGCTTAGAGTGAAGGGATGGAAGACAAGCTAATGGCCACGAAAAGAAAGCAGGTGTTGCCATACTTTTTTCAGACAAAGCAGATTTCAAGTTAGAAAAGACAATGAGAGACAAAGAGGGGCAGTATATAATGATAAAATGGACATTCCACCAAAAGGACATAACACTTATTAATATATATGCACCTAACAAAGGGGCATCAAAGACATAAATCAAGGATTAACAGACCTAAAAGAAGAAATTAAAAGCAACACAATAATAGTAGGGGAGCTTAAGACCTCACTTACGTCAATGGACACATCAACCAGACAGAAAGTCAACAACAAAATAGTAGATTTAAATGAAACACTTGATCAGATGGACTTAATAGATATATAGAGAACACTCCATCCAAAACCAGCAGAATATACATTCTTCTCAAGCGCACATGGATCATTCTCCAAGAAAGACCATATGCTGGGAAACAATGCAAGCCTCAATAAATTTAAGAAGACTGAAATCATCCCAACCATCTTTGCTGACCGCAATGCTATGCAGCTAGAAATCAACAAAAACAAAACTAGGAAAGTCAGAAATATGTGGACACTAAAAACATGCTATTGTTGAACCACCGATGGATCACTGAAGAAATCAAAGGGGAAACTAAAAAATACCTGGAGACAAACAAAAATGAAAATACAACATACCAGTTCTTATGGGATGCAGCCAAAGCAATCATAAGAGGGAAATTCATAGCAATACAGGCCCACCTCAACAAGCAAGAAAAATCTCAAATTAGTAATCTTAAAATGCAGCTAACATGGGGCCAGCCCTGTGGCCGAGTGGTTAAGTTCACGCACTCTGCTTCAGTGGCCCAGGGTTTCGCCAGTTTGAATCCTGGGCACAGACATGGCACCATTCATCAGGCCATGTTGAGGCAGCATCCCACATACCACAACTAGAAGGACCCACAACTAAAAATACACAACTATGTACCAGGCGGCTTTGGGGAGAAAAAGAAAAAATAAAATCTCAAAAAGAAAAAAAAATGCACCTAACAGAGCTAGACAAAGCCCAGAGTCAGAAGAAGGAGGAAAATAACAAAAATCAGAGCAGAAATAAATGAAATAGAGACTAAACCCACAGTAGAAAAGACTAATAAAACTAAGAGCTGGTTCTTTGAGAAGATAAAACTGACAAACCTTCAGCCAGACTCACCAAGAAAAAAAGAGAGAAGGCTCCAATAACTAAAATTAGAAATGAAAGAGGAGAAATTACAACAGATACTGCAGAAATACAAAAGCTTATAAGAGAATGCTATGAAAAACTATATGCCCACAAATTCAATAACCTAGAAGAAACTGATGAATTCCTAGACTCATACAACCTTCCAAAAATGAATCAAGAAGAAATAGAGAATCTGAATAGACCAATCACAAGTACAGAGATGGAAACAGTAATCAAAAACTTCCCAAAAAACAAAAGTCCAGGACCAGATGGCTTCTCTGGAGAATTCTACCACACACTGAAAGATGATTTAGTACCTATCCTTCTCAAACTACTCCGAAAAATTGAAGAAGATGGAACACTTCCTAACACATTCTATGAGGCCAACATCACCCTGATACCAAAATCAGACAAGGACAACACAAAGAAAGAAAACTACAGGCCAATATCACTGATGAACTTAGATGCAAAAGTCCTCAACAAAATATTGGCAAACCAAATATAGCAATACATTAAAAGGACTGTACACCATGATCAAGTGGTATTTATTCCAGGGACGCAGGCATGGTTCAAGATCCGCAAATCAATGTGATACACCACATAAACAAAATGAGGAATAAGAATCACATGATCATCTCAACAGATGCAGAGAAGGCATTTGACAAGATCCAACACTCACTTAGGATAAAAACTCTCAATAAAATGGGTTTGGAGGAAAGTACCTTAACATAATAAAGGCCACATATGACAAAGCCACAGCCAACATTATATTTAATGGTGAAAAACTGAAAGTCATCCCTCTGAAAACAGGAACAAGACAAGGGTGCCCACTCTCACCACTCCTATTCAACACAGTAGTGGAGATACTGGCCAGAGCAATTAGGCAAGAAAATGAAAATAAACGGAATCTAATTTGGAAAGAAGAAGTGAAACTTTCGCTATTTGCAGATGACATGATTCTAAATACAGAAAACCCTAAAGAATCCACTAGAAAACTATTAGAGATAATTAACAACTATAGCAAAGTTTCAGGGTACAAAATCAATTTTAAAAAGTCAATTGCATTCCTATACACTAACAACGAACTAGCAGAAAGAGAAATCAAGAATACAATCCCATTTACAATCACAACAAAAAGAATAAAGTACCTAGGAATAAACTTAACCAAAGAGGCGAAAGGCCTGTACAGTGAAAAATATAAGACATTATTGAAAGAAATCAAAGAAGACATAAAAAAATGGAAAGATACTCCATGTTCATGGGTAAGAAGAATAAACATAGTTAAAATGTCCATACTACCTAAAGCAATCTACAGATACAATGCAATCCCAATGAAAATCCCAATGACATTCTCCACAGAAATAGAACAAAGAATCCTAAAATTTATATGGAACAACAAAAGACCCTGAATAGCCAAAGCAATCTTGAGAAAAAAGAACAAAGCTGGAGCCATCACAATCCCTGACTTCAAAACATACAACAAAGCTATAGTAATCAAACAACATGGTACTGGCACAAAAGCAAACAGATCAATGGATCAGAACTGAAAGCCTAGAAATAAAACCACATATCTATGGACAGTTAATATGTGACAAAGGAGCCAAGAACATACAATGGAGAAAGAAAAGGCTCTTTAATAAATGGTGTTGGGAAAACTGGACAGCAACACACAAAAGAATGAAAGTAGGCCATTATCTTGCACCATACACAAAAATTAACTCTAAATATATTAAAGATTTGAACCTAACACCTGAAACCATAAAACTCCTAGAGTGTAGGCAGTGCACTCTTTGACACGGGTCTTAGCCACATCTTTTCAAATACCATGTCTACTCGGGCAAGGGAAACAAAAGAAAAAGTTAACAAATGGGACTACATCAGACCAAAGAGCTTCTGCAAAGCAAAGGAAACCAGGAAAAAAACAGAAAGACAACCCACCAACTGGGAGAAAATATTTGCAAACCATTGATCAGACAAGGGGTTGTTCTCCAAAACACATAAAGAACTCATACAACTCAACAACAACAACAGAAAACAACCTGATCAAAAAATGGGCAGAGGATATGAAAAGATATTTTTCCAAGGAAGATATACAGATGGCCAACAGACACATGAAACGATGCTCAACATCACTAATTAATGGGGAAATGCAAGTCAAAACGAGATATCATCTTACACCAGTCAAAATGGCTATAATTACCAAGACAAAAAACAACAAATGTTGGAGAGGATGTAGAGAAAAGGGAACACTCATACACTGCTGGTGGGAATGCAAACTGATGCAGCCACTATGGAAAATAGTATGGAGATTTCTGAAAAAACTAAAAATAGAAATACCATATGATCCAGCTATCCCACTACTGGGTATTCATCCAAAGAACTTGAAATCAATGATCCAAAGAGACTTATGCACCCCTATGTTCACTGCAGCGTTATTCACAATAGCCAAGATGTGGAATCAACCCAGGTGTCCATTTATAGATGAAGGGATAAAGATGATGTGGTGTGTATATACAATGGAATACTACTCAGCCATAAAAAAGGAGAAAATTGTCTCATTTTCAACAACATGGATGGACCTTGAGGGTATGATATTAAGCGAAATAAGCCAGACAAAGACAAATACTTCATGATTTCACTCATATGCGGAAGCTAACAAATATACAGATAAAGAGAACATGTTAGTGGTTACCAGAGGGGGAGGGGAGAAAGGGGCACATATGTATGGTGATGGATAAAAATTGGACTACTGGGGGTGAGCATGATTAAGTGTATTCAGGAACTGATAAAGAATAATGTACACCTGAAATTATGCAGTTATAATCCATTATAATCCCAATAAAATTACTTCGGAAAAAAAACAAAACCTTACAACCCTCCCTCTACACATCACTGGCAAACCAGTCTTTGGAATAGTTGACTGCATGGCACTTCCCAACCTCCAGGTCTAAAAGACCCTTCAATAATTCCCTGGCACGAAGCACTGAAGTTGAAACTGTCAGACTATTCTTACTTAAAAAGCCTCCTAAAGTCTGTGTAAGTGCTGAGAGAGGCTGTCCCTCGGTAGTGGGCAGGGGGAGATTTTCACTGCCCACTTCCGGGCGGTCTGAGAAGACTTACAGCATGGCGATGCCCCAGTGCTTTCCCGCTCTCTCTCCTGCCGCCTGGAAACCAGAGAGGCCAATGAGGGCCACCGTGGGCGTGATGGTCAGGGGCCCGATGTATTTCAGCAGAGCCCCAGGCAGGCCCAGGAGGCCGATGACCACTTCTATCAATGAGGACATGATGATGGCTCCCTGGATCTGGAACAAGAGAGGCACAGACATGAGAGTGAGCCGCTTGTACATCACGCACCCCACTGTCACCTGCAACCACAACTGACACTTCTGCAAGGCATCAAGTTATTATACGACAGGCATCATAGAGGTGGAAAATTCCTGGGGAACCCCAAAAGAAACCAGTAGGTGTGACTGGGGCATGACCTGAGGACGACCTGACTGATGTGAGAGGATTACAAACAAGGGCACCGGACAGAAAGCTAACTTGCCTTTTCCACTGAGAAAGGAGACAGATCTAATTCTCACTTAAGACATTCAAAACCAGCCTCAGAGGAACACCGCAGTACAAAGACTCTTGACTTTAAAAAGTTAGCCCCTGCAGGACATTTAAAAGATAGTGCTATTGATAAAAATTCCACAGGTATGTTTCTATTGTGCACAACAACCGTATCTGTGCAAATTCGGAACTAACGGTGAGTGATCTTATAGGTTTTGAAAGCTCTGGATAAACTGTCAGCTCTTCTTGAGGTCGGAGGACTCCCGAACCCTGTTCTGTTCAAATGCATCATAGTAGACAAGGATCTTTAACTCCTTCCACAGATGGAGGCAAACACTGAGGCCGGAATGAACAGTTCTGCTGCCTGTCGACAAGCCTCTGAAGGTCGGTCCAAGGGCGCCACATCCCTCAGCTGGTTACGCTGGAAGGTGCTTGAGGGTGTAGGTGGGCAGGTCTGTGGGTGCATGGGAGGAAAGGGGGAGAAAGAAAGAGGGAAACAAGGGCGAGAACAATACTCTCTGACTGCACAGAGCATTTCTGCATGCTTCATTTTATAGTAATGTCATCCAAATCCAGTTTAAAAACAGAAATAAACATGTCAGTAGTTGAAAAAGAAAAGGAGGGCTTAGTATAAGCAACTGCAATTTCTTAGGCACGACCAACAGTGAAGCTGAGAAGAAACACAAAGAAGCCACGAGCAGGCAGCGCTCCTCCTTTACCTCGCGTATTCGGGGATACCAGATGTGCTCTGTGTGTAACAGTTCTGCTGTTCCATTGGCAACTGAAACATCTTGAAAACAAAAACAAAGACAAAATTTTTCTTGGAGTGACACTGATGTTTCACAGGACATAGTCAATTTACTCTTTTTAAGAAGAATTTCCTGCCTGTTTTAAGTATATCAACACGCATCCCTGAAATTCAAGTTGCGACAGTACGGCTTACCATACTGAACGGGGCAGTCCCCCACGCTAACTTAACCAGAGCTATTCCTCGACTGAGAGCTCCCAGCTTGTCAAAAGCTGACTGAAGCAGTGATGCACACTGCTAGTGCCAGCCTCACACAAAGACCAACCTTTGCAAGCAGCTAATTGAAAAGCCCAATAGCAAGGTTGCCTGACTGATGTTTTAAAAACCTAGATAAAACAGAGGGCCTTTTCCAGTTCCTAAATCAAATCAGTGGTCACAAAGTAACTCCTAGGAGCAAGGAAGGAAATGAAGGCTGGAAAACTTTGCTCCTAGAACCTAAAAATGTAACAGTATTTTGAGAGTACAACAGGTCTGATTTTCTCAAATCCCCTATCTGATCTTTTCCTGACCTTATCGGGTTATTTAAGGATCTTTGCAATCACTACGGGGAGGAGGGGGGATGAAAGTCATTTGCAGAAAATCAAAGCAGCCAGATCCTTAAAAAGCAGAGATGTTCAGAGAAGGGATGCTGACGCAGCAAAGAGAGTGATTACTGGTGGTTCGCAAAATCCACTGAAAGAAAGAGGCAGAAAAATAGCACAAATACTTTTCTAATCTGTTCCCATGTTTATCAATTTCATTAGCATAGAGAAATGAGGTCCTTTCTGGTCCTTACTTGCTCTGGGGTTAGGGATGCACGAGTGGACAGAGAGAGAGACAGGAACATGATCCACGGATTGGAGCATTCTAAGCTGTTTGTTGGTTTGCGTGTTCCGTGCCTAAGTCCAGAAAGGATTCACCGCTGCTAAGGGCAGCACGTCCAGGCCTCCCTTTTATCACCTGCATCAAAGGCCCCCAATGACATACGTGGAAATAGCTGCAATTACCTGTGGTGTTACATTTCCATTTATCTAAAGACAGGATGGCTCGAGCAGGGGCCAGAAATGCAAAAGCACTGGCCTGAAACAGGGGTAACCTAAAAGAAACGAGACCAAAACCATGATCACGGCGTCAGGAACTACCGAGGTAGTTCACTATTTGACAGCTTAACAGTCTTTTCCACAGACAAACAGCACATGAGCAAATGCAGACACACCTGGAAGAAAGAGCCCCGTCTGCAAAGATCGCCTCTGCCATGCAGCCGGGGCCGCTGGCCTCTCCGTCCTCCCCTCCTGCGGCTCTCCCCACAGACAGCCCCAAGGTGAGCACCCCAACCCCAGCCCCTGCCATCGCCACCTTTCCCCTTGCAAGTGGGGGATGTCGGGCATTTGCGGGACTCTGTACTGCTGAGCTGGTGAGCTCCTTATTAAACACCACTGTATGTCCTCGATCTTCCCACCCTCCTCCTCCCTTTCAAAGTCTTATCAGTTACCATGGGGAACAAATCTATCTCCCTCTGTTGTTCCATTTTATAAGTCAAAAACTGCCCTAAATCACAGAAGATAAGCATTAAAGTCACCTTAGTGATCTAGACCTATTAAGGAAAAGGAAAGCTGTTACGTTACAAATTAAGAGGAGATGCAATATACTGCTTACTCATAAAAAACACTCAAAAGTATTCTAACTCTTGTTTTTAAAGGACCCAAACAGCTTACAGACTCTTGGTTAAATTTCCTGTCTATATCCTCAAACTAGATGCAGACATCCTCAAATGCCATCATTCAATTTTATTTTAGGTACTTCATGATGACTTTATGAACAATGGAGCTACTCAAATTCAAAAGATTTGGACTTTTATTGGAAATGTACAGCATTGCAGCTACAGTTGTATTAAGGTGGTTTCATGGGCTACCATGAGAACCCAATAACTATTTGTTTTTTGGCGAGGAAGATTGTACCTGAGCTAACATCTGTACCAATCTTCTTCCATTTTGTATGTGGGACACCATCACAGCATGGCTTGATGAGTGGTATGTAGGTCCACGCCCAGGATCGGAACCTGCGAACCCCAAGCTGCTGAAGCGGAGTGCGCAAACTCAACCACCACGTCACTCGGCCAGCTCCTCAATAACCTTTTTTAACATTACTTTCAGGGTAAAATATAAAACTGGCACCCTCTGTTTGCAGGACTGGGAACTCCCAGACGTCCAGATCCTTCTCCAATACCCACAAGTAGCCTTGTATCACTGTCCTGGCCAGCAGTCGGGGACTCAGCCTGCTCTCCTCTGAGCTGACAGTGCATCTTGCCCTGAATGAAACAGGAACTGGACTGAGACAGGGAGGGGGTCTAGTTGAAGGACAAGCAGCTGCTTTACGAGTCCAGAGCTGGCACACACCATTCCGAGCCAGATGAGGGTCAAGATTCTTTTGTTCTCCTGGCCATTTTAATCATGCGACGAAATCAACTGAGAGTAGGCAGGATGCTGGCTTTAAGACACGGAGGCAGGCCACACAGTACAGACCGGATGCCACTCACATGGGCATGCCCTCCACCAACCATCCATTTATAATTACCTGTCAGAGGGGCCCAGAGCATAGTATCGTCACAAGTGGAAGTGAAGGTCACCTGGAGTTGGAACGTGTATCAAAGGGAAAAAACACTGTTTCATTTACAAAAATTTCTTCAGCACAATTTTTCAGAAATGTGCTGAAAGGGTAAAGGGAGGCCAGCACCTCATTAGGAATGGATGCCATCTCAAGTGGTCCAAATGGCATCTATCTGTTTTACTATCATTTCCAACTTCCAGCAATGCATCCTAGGGAACGTGATACGGGCTGCATTCAGAGATCCAGTCCCAAAGAAGGCTGCAATCAACACTGCACTGGCGACTCATCGGATGTGGGAAAGTGAAGACCGGCTCTGAGAGCCACTCCCAGTGACACAAACTATTCTTGCCCTCAGTCTTCACCTGACCATCGCCTGGGCATGTTTCAGGGCAAGGATTTTCTGGCTTAACCCTGACCACCAGCCCTGAGAGCACTGCTGCAAAGCACTCACTCATTTTCATGCCACCAGGACCCCGGGTTCCTTTGAAAGTGGGTGCTAATAGAAAATTCCCACAAGTGCTGCCCCAGACAAAGCCGCCCAAGATGGTCTGGAAAAGGTTGCACATGCCAGCTTACGTGTTGACCGTTCAGCCGTGCACAGGGCCTGCCACAAGCAGTACGGGCTGAGGGACAAGCAGCGGCTGTACAGCAGTAAGGACCCAGCATCAAGTGTGGTCTCCATACCCAGCGGCATAAATCACTAGCATAACTGGAATATTCTTAGGGCAAGTTGCAACAAGAGCACATGACTTCCTTAGGCGAGAGCCTGCCTGAATCACAATCAACAAAGCCAATTTTCCAAGAAAAAGAGTGAGGATGGTAAAGCCCTTGATATCCTCATCTGATAAAGTGGCTTCTTCAGGCACTTGCCCAGCATGACGCTGGTCAATCGGAGGGCTCTTCCCTCGGCGCCTCACTCACACCATCACCCAAACCTCAGGCCCCGGCCTCCCCAAGCAGACAAGACTCTCTGCTCTTTATCGTGTGCTGACGACTGGTAAGGAAACCAATTAAACCGTGCCTTTCTTTCCACCAGGGGCTGGGAAACCAGCCCACAAGCCAAATCTGGCAGACCACCTGTTTCTGAGCAGTTTTACCAGGATATGGCCACCCTCACTTACTTACACGTCACCTGCAGCTGCTTTCGTGCTGTGACAGTAGAGTCGAGCAGTCACAAACAGAGCCTAACATATTTACTGCTTGTCTCCCTACAGAAAACGTTTGCCAACTTTGTCTACAGGGAAAGCATATCTTACATATGTGAGGAGGTGGTGAATTTTTGCAGAAGAATGTTTCTAATGTAAGAGAAAAGCTGAGCAGACAGGCACCTTTGTGGCGACACATTCCTGCGTCAGGCTCGAGCCCCAGGACGGCAGAAGAACCTGACCAGCCCACACAAGTCCTTCACTTTGCTCAGAACCCTGCTGGAGGAGCCCCATTTCCTCCTCGGTACCCAGGTGACCCCAACCCCATTCCCCAGCCTCTTCCCTCAGCACCCCCTTCACACACCTCCCCTCCACCCACGCAGTCCTTGCCTCTGAGCCTTTGCTTATCTCTTCTCTTCGTCATCCACTCACTTAATATTTAATTTTTATTCATCATTCATGGCACAGAGAAAATACAATCTCTTGCAGGAAATATCTCATGAGCTCCCTCTTAAATGTGTAATGTGCTCCCCTACAACTTAGGACTTTCTGGCCATGATTTCTGCAAGTCACCCGCCTAGTCCCCAGGAAGCTGTCCCTGTTCCCTAGGGATGCTGGTTAAAAATGGAGATGTCCACATCCCACCTAGTCCTAGTTCATCAGAATTGTAAGTGGGGTCCTCGAATCTGCATCCTCAACAGTGACTTCTAGGGGAGGCTGAGGCACCAGGCACAGCAAAGACTGGCAGTCCTTCTGCCAGGTGAACGGATTATCGTTTGGGTCACTTGGTAACCATTTCTTGAGCATCTGCTAGACACGGGCACAATTATAAGCAGCTACAACGATGGAAAAAACTGCTCCTGGGCCCTTGAGTGGTTTCTGCTGTGTGAAAGAGACACTAATCATGGCTACACCTGAAGGGCACTGATGAGGACAGTGTGAGATCTCAGAGAAGTGTGTAGGAGCAGTCACTTACGCTAACAGATGAGAAGCATTTCACACATATGCTAGGGGTTATGAGTAGTCCAGGCAGAGAGAAGAGCAGGTACAAGAGGAGAGCCACACAACAGACCCAGGAATGCTCGGAAAGCTGCAGACACCTTACTGTGGGTGGGAGCGCAGGGACCTGATGTGGTGAAGGTCAGAGGGCACCAGACAGCCAATGCCCTGCATTCTTCCCGCAGGCAAGAGGAAAGTTGAAGGACCTTGCTCTGACACCATCACTTTGGGGGAACTGGGAAAGCTGACCTTAACCCCAAAAGTATTCTCAGAAGGCATGCCAACAGGCAGGTGTGGCATGGCTCCACCTGCTTCAGTGACCCCACTCATCTTGTGGTTGGCTCCAGGGCGAATATTATATTCCCACTAGCTTATTAACATTCTTACACAGTGGGCTTAAAAATTATAATTTTTCAACTTTATCATTTCATTCATTTTTATTAATTAGCATCCTTTTGTAAAGAAGAGCTTTTCTTTCTGTCCAACCTTATCTCTTTTTCTTTTTTGAACATCAGTGAACTCATGGATTCCATTTTTATTCAATTTTATAATTCATTACCATGACTATTCTTTTTAATAATTAAATTGTCTCAAATCTGCCCAAAGCAGCCTGTTCAAATAGGTTCCCATTCTTTTTGACATAACACCCCCCTCTCCTCCTCATTCTTCAAGCAGTTTCCTGCTTTCTGGCACAAGATGCTCCAGGCTCAATTTGTACCGTTCTCAGGCCCAGCCCTGGAGCCCACCACTTCTCCAAGGAGCCCTAGTTCATTCTTTTTTTTTTTTTTTCATTGCAGCATTGTTTTTTTTTTTTTTAATTGAGTTACTGATAGGTTACAATCTTGTGAAATTTCAGCTGTACATTAATGTTCGTCAGTCATGTTGTAGGTGCACCATTTCACCCTTTGTGCCCACCCCCCACCCCACCTTTCCCCTGGTATCCACTAAACTGTTCTTAGTCCATAATTTTAAATTCCTCATATGAGTGGAGTCATACACAGATTGTCCTTCTCTCGCTGGCTTATTTCACTTAACATAATTCTCTCAAGGTCCATCCATGTTACTGCAAATGTAATGATTTTGTTCTGTTTTGCAGCTGAGTAGTATTCCATTGTATATATGTACCACATCTTCTTTATCCATTCGTCTGTTGCTGGACACTTAGGTTGCTTCCACGTCTTGGCTATTGTAAACAGTGCTGCAATAAACATTGGGGTGCATAGGACTTTTGGAATTGCTGACTTCAAGTTCTTTGGATAAATACCCCGTAGTGGGATGGCTGGATCGTATGGTAGTCCTATTTTTAATTTTTTGAGGAATCTCCATACTGTTTTCCATAGTGGCT